TAAACCTGCCCATTGTCCTGATTTTCCCAGTGTGGTGTCAGGTTCCAGGGGAGCCTATTTATACTGAATTCATGAGAGCCACTTTGTGCCCAGGAGAGTTCAGCTCTGTCTTTTCAATCAGTTAGTGGCCATCAGACACTAATGGGGTTTCTGGAACTGTGGGTGCTTTATGCTCTGTTCTGCAGGAGTTTGGGCTCGCTGAGCTCTTCCCTGAGCTCTGCTCAGCCCCTCACTCCAGGCAAATGTGGTGTTCCCTCACTCTTAGATCCTCAGCAGGCTTGCAGGCATCACATGTGAGCCCAGAGTTCCTTTATAGAGCAGACACCAAGCCTTTCGTGGCCCAGACTTACTTTTTACCATTTCTGCGGGCAGTTTGCCTGATTCTGCCCTCATTCTCCCCAGTTCTCTCTGCCTGATTCTGCCCACATTGCCCTGGAGTGGTGCCTCCCTCTCCTCCTGATGGCCACTGCTGCTTTCCCCCTCGAGCCAAAGTCACTGCAAGAAATTCCATCACCTTCACTGGGTGAACAAGTGAAGCAGAAGAAACACCCATCCTGCAGGTAATTAACTGCAGAGCTCAATGAAACTGAAGTGGTTGGAAGGGCTTTGATCACTCCTACTGGGATTTTCACGGCCCAGCTGTGACAGCTTCACCCCAAACCAATCCATCTTTGCTTATTTGCTCTTACAGAAACTTAGAAACCAGCTCAGAAACCTCCTTAGGACCCAGCCAGTCTCCACTGAACAGTTCTCACCCACAGGTCTCTTCTTTTTTACCACTCAAGGAGCATCCAAACCAGCTGCCCACATTCCTGTGTCTATCCCAGCTTCCCAGTGCCCACAGCTGCAGTTCCCAGTTCCCTGCCAGTTCCCAGGGACTCCCACCCATTCTAGAACTCCAAATCTCTGCAAAAAAAAGCTGTTCCCTGTGGATCTTCCTCCACCTTTTGTGTCACTTACCTGGTGAGGCACTTGGAGAAGGACAGAAGCAGGGAAGATTTCTGCAGCTGTGGAATGGTTAAAAAGATTCCTGCCTCAGGACCACTGAGGGCTTAGTGTCTGCTCTATAATTTATAGCTCAGCATCTCTCATCCCGAGGTTTTGTGCTCACAGAACAACCCTTTTCTATTTCATGTACACAGCTCAGCTCAGGAAATGCCCCCAGGTTTGTCCAGGCCTTGTTAATACCTTCACCCATGCAACCTCAGGGGAGAAAACAGCTTTTTATCATTAGGTGAAAATGGAACTGCCTGGAAAAAACAACACAAACACGGGGTTTAGCCCACGAGGAGAGATCCCAGGCCTTTTAGTTAGGAAGCTGCCAGGCTGCTGTGGAGTGAGCCAGGGCTGGAGAATTGGCTGTCAGGGCAGGGAGAGACGTGAGCCTAAAACAGAGGGCAGCAGGAGGCTCAAACACGCTGCTTCGAGGGGATAAAGCAAAGGATTCCATTTTAATTGATCTAATCTTTGGCTCCCGGTGGAATTTGAAGAGATATCTTACTAGAATTACACGGGGTTTATCAGGAGACAGCAATACTGGGAAAGTGCCTTTTGCAAGGCAAACTACTCCAGATCTTGAACTGCATTAGCATTGGGGCTGGCTGAGCACAAGAGCCCCACAATGGCTTCAAAGATGAGAGGGAAGGAAAAAAAAAATTAAAAAAAAGCTGGGGAGAGAGGGAATATGTGAGATGTAAACCCATCTGGGCACAGAAATGTGTGTGAGCACAAACCCAGCACATGCATAATGCTGCCTGCTCCCTCCAGGGTGGGACTGGGAGGATTTAGCAGGGAGCAGAAAATACAGGACAGAGGCACATTAGAAAAGGCATCTCAATGACAGCAGCTTTTATCCTCCTTGTCTGAGGTCCATCCCTGCTCTGAGTGCAAAACCTCTGAATATTAAAAAAAAGAAAAAAAAACAACACTGAAAAGAGAGGAGGGCAAGAGGGACATGAAACAAATCTCTTTAAAATACAGACCCAGATATAAAATACCATGTGGGTGGAGCAAGCTAACAGGAGAGATAAAAACCAGGTGGTTTCTCATCATTTTTTTTTTCCTTGACATCCTCTGTCTGAGCAGATGACTGCAAGATCTTTGGAGATGCAGAATAATGTCTAGCTCTGTCAAGATTTCTCTTTATTCAATGCGGGGAAGCAGTGAAAAAAACATCAGGTCTGATAAATGATTCATGGAGCCTTTTCTTCTGCTAATCTGTAAATAAATTTTAAAAAGCAGCTTCCTTTTGATGAATATATTCTGCAGCTCGTAGAAACATGTTGGCCTTTAAGCACAACACAGGCGAGCTCAGATGTCTCTAGTGCTGCTGTCAGGACTCTGAAAGCCCAGCCTGGCTCCTTGCAGGGCTGGATGGACTTTTATTGACTTATCTCAGCTGAGGATCTGCCTCTCCAACCCCATGGCACGAGGGGAGCCTTGCCTTATCTCACTGCTCAGTTTATGTCAGGGAGAGAGGATATCCTGTGGATTTACAGATGTGAAAGCCAGAAAGGACCTCTGTGAGCATCTCATAGGACATCCTAAAAAAACCAGCTCTAAATCCTCTCCTTGCTGTCTGTTTACAGTCACTGGGAGTAGAGCTTCCCTTCACACCATGCTGGGAACAGCAGAATGGCCCTGCAGTGCCACCACAGCACACACCCCATTCCTTCCCTGTGCATCCTCCTCAGAAACATCATGGAAACATCAGAACAACCCTGCTGTGCCCATCACCATGGATCACACCCCATTCCCTGTGCATCTTCCTCAGAAACATCCTGGAATCATCAGAACAACCCTGCTGTGCCCATCACCATGGATCACACCCCATTTCCTGCCCATTCTCCTCAGAAACATCTGCTGGAATCATCAGAACAACCCTGCTGTGCCCATCACCATGGATCACACCCCATTCCCTGTGCATCTTCCTCAGAAACATCCTGGAATCATCAGAACAACCTTGCTGTGCCCATCACCATGGATCACACCCCATTCCCTGTGCATCTTCCTCAGAAACATCCTGGAATAATCAGAACAACCATACTATACCCATCACCTTGTATCAAACCCCATTCCTTGTGCATCCTCCTCAGAAACATCATGGAATCATCAGAACAACCCTACTGTGCCCATCATGACAGTCCACACCCCATTCCCTGCCCATCTTCCTCAGAAATATCCACTGGAATCATCAGAACAGCCCCACTATACCCATCACCATGGATTAAACCACATTCCCGGCCCATCCTCCTCAGAAACACCATGGAATAATCAGAACAACCCTGCTGTGCCCATCACCATGGTCCATTCCCTGCCCATCCTCCTCAGAAACATCTGCTGGCATCACCCTGGATTCACCCTTGGGCAGCTCCAGCCCCCAGCTATGGGAAAGATGGAGCTGCATCCCTGCTCACCCTGCTGTCAGTTCTGAGTTCTCTCCTCCCTCATCACCAGGCATTTGGGCTTTGTTTTTTTTTCAAATTGACCTTTAATTTTAACTCCTGTTTTCCATTCAGCTACACCAGGGGTGTGGACACTCTCAGGGAGCAGAGACCTTCAACAGCCAAAGCACCTCTTGCCTGTCAGGTTGTTGGGTTTCTCCCTGAGCAGCCGGGCCTCAAACTGTCTCACAACTTTCCTGACTCTGAACAGGGAAGGAAAGAGAAAAAAAAAGAGCATGATTATACAAGGACATCTTTTATTTAAGTACATTCAAGACAAAAAGAAAAGAAAACAATTCAAGAACAGGATGTACCTTCACTCAAGGCTTTATCTCCCCTGCCCCTCTCCATTGTCATCTCTTTCCTTTTACGACCAGAAATTGCATAGAATTTGTTTTTTCAATCAGAAAATTAAATTTGCCAGTGTAAACCCCACATCTGTACCAAGCAGAGGGTGAGCTGCTGCTGTTTCTAGGGAAGTCACTATTTTCCTTACACGAGATCTCGGGCTAATGATTTTCTCAAATGCTCTGTGGCTGGAATTCACCCTGGAAGCTGAGGGTGCTCCGTGGGGTCACGGATTTGGGGAGCCCCTGAGCCTGGGGCAGAGCTCAGAGTCACTTCAGGAGTGTGCAGAGCACAGCCAGGGACACTTTGGGGGTGCCAACACCTCCCGCCTCGGCTGGTGGGGATGGGCAGCCCCCCCAGTGCTCCCCACTCACCGCCCTCAAAAGGCTCCTCCCCACCCCATCCCAAGAATAGAAAGGAAAAGGAAAAGAAAGCAAAAGATAACCCCAGAATGAAACAAAAGACACAGAACCCCTGAAATTCCAGGCGTTTCAAGGCCTCTTTGAGTTCATTGTGTTCGTTGGCTGTTTTTTGGCATTTTAATATATATATTTATATATATCTATGTATAGATATATTTCTCTATATATGTAATTTCAACAACTCCTCAGATGGACTTCCAGCAAACGCTGCTTCTCACAGGGAGCGTGTCCCATCCCATCCTCCCCTTCCCCCTTCAACCCACCTGCCACCCTCAGAAAAGGAAGAAGAATTCAGCACCTGGTGCCTTGGAGACTGGGTCCTGACATACCCAAATTAAACAAAAAAAACCCAAAATAATGACTCCTCCCTTCCCACAGCCACAGCAAATAAAAGTCCCCCCCTGCCCTTGGAGAACATCCCCCAGTAAGTGATGGAGAGGCAGTGCCACCGTCCTTTCTCTGACCTTGGAGGGGCGAGGAGTTCCAGGAGCCCCTCCTTGACCCTGGGTGGGCAATACCTGCTACACCAGCCACCCACCACATCCCTCCATCCCAGAGACAACCTCTGGACACCCACCAGCCTGAGGACCTCCCTCCTGCCCCGCCAGGCTGTGGTGGACACCAGACCCGCAGCCAGGCCTCGGTGTCCACGCCAAGGTCCACTTTGCTCTGGAGAAGCCGGGTAACTGCTATTGATTTAAAAACGAGTTGACATTGTACAAGTCCGTGTTCTGTAAAATGGAACAGGACCCTCTTGTCCCCACCCCGACGCCCCCTTGGCCTGGTGCTACTCGGGCCCGCTGCTGTTGGTGGCCTTGTCCCACTCCAGGCTCTCCTCGCTGCGCGCCGGCGACCCCGCGGCCGGCCGGGCCCGCAGCCCCTGGAAGCGGCGGCACTCGGGGCACACGCGGATGTGGGTGCAGCCCCGGGCCACCAGGGCGGCCTCTTGTGCCAGTCTTTGTGCCAGGGGGTCTGGCTCGCCCCCGCTGCACAGCTTGCCGTTGCTGAGCGTGGTGGTGCTGCGGGCTCGGCGCTCCTCGGGCGCCGCGGGGCGAGTCCGAACCACCGCCCCTCGCCTCCGACGGGGGTGGAAACTGTCCTTGCACAGGATGATGTTGCGCAGCTCCGTCACCATCTCTTGGCACACCGACACCTGCGGGGAGAACGGAGCTGTGCTGCTCACCTGAGCGAGCCCTGAGTCCCTCAGGGGCCTGGAGTGATGAGGGCTTGGAGTCTTGTCATACCCAAGCTCACCTGAGCGAGCTCTGAGTCCCTCAGGGGCCTGGAGTGATGAGGGCTTGGAGTCTTGACATGCCCAAGCTCACCTGAGCGAGCTCTGAGTCCCTCAGGGGCTCTGGGTCCTGGAGTGATGAGGGCTTGGAGTCTTGTCATACCCAAGCTCCCCTGAGCAAGCTCTGAGTCCCTCATGGGCTCTGGGTCCTGGGGGCTTGGAGTCTTGACATGCCCAAGCTCACCTGAGTGAGCTCTGGGTCCTGGAGTGATGAGGACTTGGAGTTTTGTCATACCTAAGCTCACCTGAGCGAGCTCTGAGTCCCTCAGGGGCTCTGGGTCCTGGAGTGATGAGGGCTTGGAGTGACCCAGGATGGTGGGAGGTGTCCCTGACCATGGCAGGGGGTGGAAGTGGATGAGCTTTAAGGCCCCTTCCAACCCAGTCTGTTTTAACATTCCACGCTGTGATTCTGACACCAAATTTTTATGGACCCAGTGCTGCTGGTTTTCAACTCCAATGCTCAGAGTCTACACTTGGTTTAACCCAACTCCGCCTCTCATCAGAGACCCCCCCTGTGCTCTTCATTCCTTGATCAGCACAGGATCCCAACCTGCTGCAGGTAGAAATCCCACCCCCAGGAAAGGTACCTGGATGTTGTACACATCTTTGATCCTTTGAAAGCCCTCAGAGCATCTCTACAGCCTCCCTGTGAGTAAGAGTGCATGAAAAGCTCACGGATTTTAGACCCTGCCCAAAGGACCAAGCCTGTTCCTGGGTTTGAGCTGTTGTGGCTGGGGCTGCTCCTCAGCCTGGGTGCATGACTTGCTCAAGGACACCCCACAGACAGCAATAAACACCCCCTGTCCCCTCAGGACACTCCCAGCTCCTACCTCCGACTGTTCAGAGTGTCGAAGGCTCCACAAAAATTCCAGCATTGCCATAAAAATTGCTACGATTAAGCCGCAGATGAGCACCACGAAGATTCCACCAATGTTCTCCATCCCCAAGCCTAAAATAAAGCAGGAGAGACACTCTGGAGAGGCAGACACATCATAAACCTCAAGTATCACTGCACAGAAGCCCCAGGCTTTGCTGTTTTGTTGGCATTGTAGATGCCCAGCCAGGGACCAAAAGCACCGAGCCAGCAGTGTCCTATTAATAGCTCCCTGCATGACTCAGATGGCCCAAGTGAGTGACTTGCAATAACTGCAGGATCGAAGATGCCTGCTCAGAAATGATGATTTTGCAGATAAACAGCCAGAATGTTGGAGGGGAAGCACAAAGCAATTTGTGGACAAACTGAAAACGGGAGGGGAAAAACGCAGGATCAAAGGGGCACATTAATCCCTGCAAATTATTCACCAAGCTCCAGTGGCTTTGAACTTGAAAAGGAAGAGGAGAAAGGTTGTTAAAGGCGCAGAGATAAAGGAGACAGGGAAGGGCTTTAAAGGAAGCTGGCAGCAGGAAAAGCTCCTTTGATTGCATCACAAAGTGCTGCAGGGAAATGATTCCGGCTGCTCAGACTGCAGTGGGAAAGGAGAGGCTCCAAACAAGAGCAGGAGGCTGTGACACTGCAGGGTGACAAAATGGGGTCCCTGCCACCCTGGGGAACCTGGCCGTGTGTTGGGTGTCTCTGCCCAGCACCCCTGGCCCATGAGGAGGGAACAGCCCCTTCCATGGACAGCTCATCCCACCTCCCCTGCACAACTCGCTCCCTATGGGGTGACCACCATGCCTACCCAGCCTGCATTCCAGAAAGTTCCACCAGCTGAAGGAAAACCCATCCCTTAAAAACCTTTCCATGTGCTGAGGTCATCACTTCACTTGCCACCACAGCCCTGGTCCCCAAAACTGTGCCTCCATCTGCCTGTGAGATGAGCCAACCTCAACATTTGGGACATGGTTCCTGTCTCCTGTGTTTGGTTTGGGTCTCTGATTGGATTGATTACTAAAAACCATGTGCTCTGCCCTGGCTTGGCTGTGTGAGGCCATTACTCAACAAGAACATCTATAAAAATCTTCCCCTCCCTCCTGTAGCATTAAATCAAAGTGTAAGAATAGATGATTTATTGACTTGATCTCGGCGTGGCTTTTAGACATAAAACCTCACCAAAATCCTTGTAAATCGCTGACCTGTTTTGTTCTAAAACTCAGCAGGTCACATTTCTGCCTCCTCCTCCGTCATTCTCTTGGCACCACCCCCAGAGCAATGCAGGGAGTCTGTAAATCAGAGACTTTTGCAGAGGTGCTTCCACAGCAATGGCAAGGCAGATAAAACAGCCCAGAATCACAATTCAGACCCAAAGCTGAAGGCCATCCACTCCCCCCTGCAGCTCACAAGGGTGAATTTAGGGTTTGTACCTCTCTCTCCATCCTCCTATCATTCTGTCTGGGTGCCACCTCAGACACCCAAGCTCACTGGGAGATATTTCCTTTTTCCATGCAGCTACAGCCTTCCTCATCTCCATGGCATAGGGAACAAACCAACAGAAAAAACTTGCCCAGGGTCACAGATTGTGCTGGGTAGTGCCAGACACAGCCAGACTCTGCTTCCCCCTTCCAAAGCCATCTCAAAACAGCCCCCAGCCTAGACTCCACCTTAGAGCTGCCTTTGGCACAGTCCAGGGAGAAAATAAACCCTTCCACCTTCAAAAGTAACTCATTTAATAGCAATAACCTGATGTCTTACACCTTCAGCCTGGAGATAAATAACTGGGGTTGTCTGTGGAGCAGCACTTTCCAAAAGTGAGCATCATCTCCCAGCAGGAACTGCACAAACACACACACACCTACACCTGCTGCAAGGTCAAAACTCCAAAAGAGCTTCCTCAGCCTTGGCTTGGCTCTTTTCTCTGCTCCCACAGAGGTCACAAGGCTGTGATTTTAACTGGGGGGCCTGCTGGCCTCACAGAAAACACTTGCTGAGGAAAGGGCCGCTGCCAAAACTAAAAAATGCAGCAACTGTGTTAAGCTGGCAACTGCTCTCATGCTGGGACATCAGCCTAATGTGGTGGCTTTTATGGCAATTTGCATAGCATTACCCAAAAGAATTTGCTCCTCAGTTTACAAATGTACTAATGAAGTCCTTGTGTCCCTTCCCCTGGCTGTTTAAAAGACGCTTTCACATGAAGCCATTAACCAGCGGGCCTGTGGTGGAGATCCATCTCCCTTCAAGGAACCCAGGATTTTGGTCTGATCCCTTCAGCCATCCATTTTCCCAGACATTCATTAGAAGCTAATTTACCCTCCATATGCCTCCAATATTTGTCATTTGGTTGTTCCCGCTATCTCTGCCCCAGGCAAAAACACACAGCGTGAGGCACGGCACGGCGGAGCTGCTTGGCTTTCTCCTTGAGTTGTGAAGGAAGGAATCTCAGGTCAGGAGAAGGGGAAAAAAGTGATTCCCAGGCAGAAAACCTGGCAGACATGCAGCTGGGTGTCCATCCTGGCACCTCTGGCCAGGATGTTTCTGTGGCTGCTCCCTTGGGAGTGCAGGGCTTACCTTTGGCTCTGTGGTCCTCCTCTTTGGGGCACTTCCCTCCTTCCCACCACTTGCGCTTCAGGATCTCCAGGCGGTTGTTCTCCTGCAGCTGGAGGATGGCCAGGTCGAACTCATCGCGGAACACGGAGCCTGCAATGCCAAGAGGGACGTGGTAGGGCCCCACCTTCCTCCCCATCATCATCCTCGCCGCTCGCGCCACCCCAGCGTGCCCAGCTAGCACAGCTCCTCTCTGGGTGGCTTGGAGGGGCTCTCAGTCCATGCCAGCCATGGAAAGCTGCAGCCACCCCACTGGGAATGTCACCTGCAGAAGGTGACTTTACCTGGCCACCAGGAGCCACACAGGCCTCTGGAGCAGGTCCATGGCAAGGGGAGCTTTGGCTTTTGAATGAGCAGTTCAGTATCCTGCTCCTGCAGACCATGGAGGAGCATTCCACCTCCAATTCCACCTCTCTTGTCATTCCACCTCCAATTTCACCTTGTTCTAATGCTCCTTCCCTCAAACTGGTCACAGAAATCCTGAGCTGGAAGGAGCCCAAGGATCATGGAAGCCAAAATGTCTATGTTGGAGGAGTTCAGTCCTGAGCTGGGCACAGACCTCTGCTCAGTCCCAGTGTCTGCCACCAGAGATCCTTGTCTGGTACAAGAAATCCTTGTCTGCCACCAGAGATCCTGAGGAAGGGCCATGGGAAAGACTCTGCTTCTCCCAGTAACTCTGCACTATTGTCCCAGCCAGCAGCTTTCTGCTCCTCTTATCTGCTACGGTTTCACTGTTTAACAAGACAATGTCAGAACAAATTTAGCCCTGAAGGTAGGGATTTGTACTCACTTTGATCAGGTTGCTGTGACTTTACAAGCTTACCCATGTTCCCTAAACTAGAGTGGCTGTTTGTGTGACGGGGCCTTATGTAATCCACCTCAACTTTGTGTTGCTAAATGCCAGGGCTTAAAGGTCAGGACAAGGCTTCCAGGCTGTCCAAAAGACCAGCTGATCGGATCATCGTTTGGAATAACAACTAAACCCTTATTTAGTGGTGATGTTCTCTTGTGAGCTCATGCATTTGAAAGAAAAAACCCCTGCATTTGTTAAACCTGATGAGAGCCAAGTCTCTGGCCTGCAGTTTCAAGAACCACCAGCTGTTAAGACATTCCTGCTAAAAACTACCAGAATTGCCACAGCATTACTTCGACATCACTTCTGGGATTAAAACAAGGAGCACAAAACGATGCACAAACACTGGTTGGGGAAGGAAACAGCAAAGAGCAGGTATGCAGAAAACAAGCAGCAATTTTGAGACATGTTTCACACGAATCATTGAAAGAGCCGCGGTCGCGTCTCACATGGCTCTGGACCAGAGCAGGGTCTCACATCTGGCTCTGGACCAGAGCAGGGTCTCACACATCTGGCTCTGGACCAGAGCAAGATCTTGCACATCTGGCTCTGAGCATGGGCAACAGGTAAGAAATAAAAAGGACCCTGTGAGATGCAACGTTGGCTTTTAGAGCCGGCGCAGCCTTTGGAACGCTCCGGTCCTCTGCCGACAGCCGAGAAGGACTAGAATTGTTCTTCACTGCCTACCGACGGGCATGCCAATCCCGTAGCCCTTGGTGTCCAGAAGGCCCCCGACCTGCGTGAGGTTGCAATTGCGCTGCCGATAATACTCGTTCATGGTGGACTCCAGCAGGAAGGCGTAGTTGGAGTTCAGCACGCGCGCGATCCCTTCCTCCGTGCTCTTCACGAAGACGCTGGGCTGCTTGGAGTACATGTAATTCCACATCCGCTGGTACGTCTGGTAGCGGGAGTTCTGTGTGGAGGGAAGAGGCAGCCACGGCTCAGGGAGGAGATTCTGGGGTAAATTAGATCCTGTCCTAGGTTACAATATTAAGATATAGTCTATTGACCACAAACTCTCAAAAAACTCACTTCCTTTTCAAACCAGGGCACCATCGACAAGAGCTGCTGAAACCAGGAGGGGCTGGTCCTAGGTTACAATATTAAGATATAGTCTATTGACCACAAACTCTCAAAAAACTCACTTCCTTTTCAAACCAGGACACCATCGTCAAGAGCTGCTGAAACCAGCAGGGGCATTGTTCTTTCCTTATCTCCTGTGAATGGGCCCATCAATGCCTTTCCCCATGACTCAGAGATAACTCCCTCCAGGAGCCATTTCTGTTTGATGTACCCACCACATGGCTCACACAATGATAACAGAGGAGCTAAGCGTCCCCCTGGATACAATCTGGGATTTGGGACAGAACTCCCCCCAGGAGCCATTTCTGTTTCATGAACCCACCACGAGACTCAGAGAATGATAACAGCCCATTGTGAGATGCTCTGCCCAGGGGGAGGAGCTAAGCATCCCCACCTGGATATAACCTGGAGTTTGGGACAGAGCAGGCAGCCTTTCCACTGCATTCCCAGAGCAATGGCTGTCTTTTCCACTGGATCTTCAGAGGAAGACTACACCCTTCTACAGGATCACTGCTCCCACAGAACCACATCTGCCATGCCAGGAGGGCTGCAGTCACCAATCCAACTGGACTGCTACCAACAACCTGACCAACAGGGTGTCAGGATGTATTCTGACTCTGTCAGTGGTTTTTTCTTTTATATTATTGCATGTATTTTGATTTCTTTTCCCTTTTCCTAATAAATTTTATTTCTGACTTGGAGTCTCTCGCTGGTTTTGCTTTCAAACCAGAACAGACCCCTACAATTAAACCTCTGTAACAGTGCCTGCTGTGGAAAGGCCACAACGGAGAGAGGAAGCAAATCTGGTTTCAGATTCAGGAAGGATTTTGGTGCCTCATCTTTGTTTATCTCAAAGAGGCCCAAATGTGTTTGTTGGAAAAGCTGGGCATGAAATACCCCGATTCCAATGGGATCTAGTAAAACAAACTAAATTCAATTTTAGAAAAAAAAAAATCATAATTTTAGTGACCATATATCAAAAACACACCAAAAATGCCTGAAGAAAGAGTTCCTGCTTGGTAATTGAAACCTCTGGGTGCTCACACCATACTGACCATCCCTCAAACATTGTCCCAACAGTTCTTCAGTGTCAAAGCCAGACTCCAGCACCCTGAGGAAGGCACTGAGAGCTGGGGGCAGCACAAAAGCTCTCTGGAGACTGTCGCTCACAAATTTAATTCAAAAAATAATCCACATTTGGTTCACCCCCCAGTTGTGAGGCAACTTAAAGTGCTTGCTGAAAAGAACTGGGGTTTTTGTCATTGATTTCAATAAACCAAAGCTCAGCCAGCCCCAAATCCTCAGAGCTGGCTGGTGGCTGAACCAGCTTGGTCTGATAAAAAGAAAGCTGAGAATGATGAATCTCTCTTGCCTGTGCAGAGCAGAGAGTGAAAGCTGCTTGCACAAAGACTGAATATAAACACACCCTGCTCCACACGAGCATTTTCATACTGTCAAGGGTTTGTTTTCTGTGGCTGGTGAGCGATGCTGGAGAGCCTCAGGGAATCTGCTGCTGACCCAGTTCCTGTCCTCATCTGTCCAGCTCTGTCCTCTGGTGCAGCCACTTGGGCAGGAGACAGATGAGCAGGGGGGGTTTGGTTCTATTCCACTGCATTTTTAGACCTTAAACTGTGTGTCAGTGTCAGGGGAAGCACTGCCTTGTGTGTCAGGACAAGCTGCCTCAGGAGGGGACAAACATTCCTTCATGCACCCAGCAATGGAGGGAGGATGGAGGCAGTTATCATCACTACTTTAACCTCCCCATCCTTACCCCAGAGGCAAATGGATCCCAACACAGCTTAAAGCACCACAAATAGGACAAATCCCTCTTTTCCTGATTTCCTCCCTGCCAGGCAGTGCACAGACACAGCCAGGGGTTTAAACTTGAAAGCTTTCCTCAAGTGAGATCCTCGTGTACAACCACCTCCCTCACTTAGGCCCTGCTCAGCTCATTTTAGATGTAAAATTTGGCTTAAAAGTAGCTCTTTTCCATACCCCTGAAGAGCATAAAGTTGGGCTGAAAAGCTCAGGCTGACTCCAGAGATTTCCCAGCCTTCCAAATTCAGTTCAGACTCAGAGTGGGGGGAAAGAGTGAGAACAAGCTTTCTCTCCTTTTGGAATTTCAACAAGCAATAAATAAATAAATAATCCTCAAGCAGTTCTTCGTGCGTTCAGAGCGCTGCAGAACAGATTCACTCATTTATTTCCCTTCTGAGCAGAGCAGGGAAGATAAAAATTAAATTGGGCTAAATGGCCCACATAACTTTGCATACACTTGACTTATTTCAGTGCCATTGACCTCACACAGGCTCCAGCACTTCACCTGGGTTGTGCAAATGCTTCTTTGCTTATCCCACCTGAAAGACTCTCAAATAAAAGCTAAAACCATGTGGGGACCTGTGAAAATCTGAATTCCTTGTCGAATTCCCTCTCTGTGTCCTCCACCATGCCTCTCCCACCATTCATCCTGCGCAGGGATCTCTCCAGAGTTCCCCTTCATGCCAGCACCTGGAGTGACACAGGGGCACAGCAGGCTGAGAGGACACCCCAAGGTGGTTGAGGAGTGCCCTGTGCACCCCCTGCCCCCCCAGGCAGCCAAAGAACGGGGTTTACTTGGAAGAAGGTCATGCTGGAGCCGCCGTGGATGGTGCCATACTCAATGGTGGTCTGGTCAGCGAGGTCATCCACGGACTCGATGGGCACGTCCATCCTCTGCACGGTCAGGAACGCCGCCAGGTTGGCCGTGTAGGAGGAGATGATGATCAAGGTGAATGCCCACCTAAGGGGAGGGAAGGGAAGGGAAGGTGTGGTTTCCCTCAGGAAATCTGCTCCCCATCCCCACCCTTTGCCTCGCAGAATCCCAGAATCACTGAGGTTGCAAAATCCCTCTGTCACAGACATCTTTTATGAAAAATCCTTTCCTTAGGACTTTTTTCTCCTGAGAAGCTGAGAGGCCTCAGGAACAAAATGCAAACAATGGTTATCTGCTGCTGTGGAATGCAACAGGTGCATCTGGGATTGGGCCCATTTTGGATGTTTGTAATTAATGGCCAATCACAGCCCAGCTGGCTTGGACAGAGAGCTGAGCCACAAGCCTTTGTTATCATTCCTTTTCTATTCTATTCTTAGCTGGCCTTCTGAGGAAATCCTTTTTTTCTATTCTTTTAGTATAGTTTTAATATAATATAGATCATAAAATAATAAATCAAGCCTTCTGAAACATGGAGTCAGATCCTCGTCCCTTCCCTCATCCTCAGACCCCTGTGAGCACCATCCCATCCATCCAAAACCATCAGTCTCCATTTGTCACGCAGACAAGTGAGTGCCACACCCAGTCCTCCTGGAACACCTCCACCTGGGCAGCCCCTCCCGATGTCCCACAGCCCTTTCCATGAAGAATTCCCTCCTCCACCTCCCTGTGCCCAGAGAAACCTCCCTGGCAGGAAGGGCTGCCCTGCTTACCAGACCCCGCTGACGCAGCGCGTGGACAGAGCCTGGGGGGCGATGGTGGAGCCCTGCTGCATGAACCCCCCCACGGGGAACCACAGAGAGTTCCCCAGCGAGTACTGGTTCACCAGGAGGTTGCATCGACCTTGGGAGCAGGGGTGGGGGCTGTACCACTCGTACGGTGTCAGCCTGAAAGGAGAAGAAAAAGGAGAGCTCGGGGAATGCACTGGGAAATGGGACACTTTAAAAAAAAAAACCACCAAAGAGAGAAAAGCTGTGAAGCTCCAGCTCTCCTGGAGGCAGAGCTTTCTGAGGAGGAAATGCTTTGCCGTCAGTTGATGCCCAGGGCTCAGAGCTGTGTGAAACGTTTGCTCTAAGGCTCAGGAGCCAGAGGCTTTCTTGTAAAGATTTGCACAAAACTTTGAGAGGCTCTGCTCTGGGCAGCTCTGCGTGCATCCTGCAGGTCCACACCACAGCAGGAACTCCAGATGTGCACGGACTTGATGGGAAGTAGAAATCAAACTTCTCTGGCTGTGCTCCCTGCTGGAGCACGAGCACTTATGGGAAGTTCAAAAGCAAAGTGTTTGAGCCCTGACTGCATTAAACCATCAAGGAAAACTCTGCTGGTGCAAAGGGTTGTTCTGAGAAGGTCTGAGGTGGAGCTGGAAGCTGAGTGCTGATGTTTCAAAGCATCCCATCCTTCAGGGACAGGACAGAGATGGGAATGGGAAATGTCTGAGCCTGTCACTGCTGTGATTGCATTTCTCTCTCTCTCTCTCTCTTTTTTGCTGTTTCCAGTTCCCTGGTTGCTGAGAAAGTCTGCTAATTGATGTGCTGCACTCCATACTGCTCCAGCTAAGAAAGCTGAGGCCTGGGAGGGTCATTTTGGGGCTATTGCCAAAACAGCTGCAGGGCTGTGCCAGCTCACATTCATAATCAGCCAATATCAGGGAGTTCTTTTCATCCCTGCATCTCCTCTCTCACTGTGTGCCAGGGAGCATGAGGAGGAGGTGATTTCCTGCAGACCTTCCATGGTGGATCAAGCTCTGGCAGCAAACCCCAGTGCTCTGGAGAGTCTGCAGCTCACAGGGTCAAGAGCTCCTTCCTGCTGAGCAAGGCAGGGAGCAGCAGCCAAAGCTCCCTCTCCATGGAGGAGCTGGGTAAAGGCACCTTTTTGGAGCATCATATTTAAAACATGAGGAAGGGGCTAAAGAGGCACCAGCTGTGCATAATTCAATGGTTTCTCCAGACCTGCATTTCTGAGGCTGTAACAGCCCTTGAAGCCATTAAAGCCCTGTCAGGATGGCAGCTTCAGCCACGCTGAGGGAGCCAGTGACAGCACAGGCCCAATTTGTGTAACGAGAACTGGGCACTGAGGGGGTCCCTGCGTGAGGAGAATTGGGCACTGAGGGGGTCCCTGTGTGATGGGCACTGGGCACTGAGGGGTCCCTGTGTGAGGAGAATTGGGCACTGAGGGGTCCCTGTGTGATGGGAATTGGGCACTGAGGGGTCCCTGTGTGATGGGAATTGGGCACTGAGGGGTCTCTGTGTGATGGGAATTGGGCACTGAGGGGTCCCTGTGTGATGAGAACTGGGCACTGAGGGGGTCCCTGTGTGATGGGCACTGGGCACTGAGGGGTCTCTGTGTGATGGGAATTGGGCACTGAGGGGTCCCCAAAGAGCCAGGGAGCCCTGAGCAGTCCCTGGCACACAGTGCCAGGACACAGCTCCACTGTGCCTGTGACAGCCCCTCCACAGGGCTGTGGGCAGGGCAGGGAGAGCAGCACTGGAGACCCCAGGGCTCCATGGAGGCCATGCTGAGGTGAGCACTCAGAGAGGTGTTTTGAGACTGATTGAAATTGGAATTGGTCACAGAGGAATGGAGCTGAGAGCTGCTGAGCCAGGCTCTGCACTCAGCTGCTCAAAGGTACCCATGAACTTCCCTGTCCCCCACAAACTGGGGAGCCAGACATCACTGGAATTTGTGGTGGAATTCATGTTCACACTTCAGAATGGATTTGCAGGTTCCTAACATCCTCCACCCTCCCTGCTTGGGACAAAGGAGTAAAAAAACATCTGAGGGAGCCATTTAAAGGTACCCATGAACTTCCCTGTCCCCCACAAACTGAGGAGCCAGACAGCACTGATGGAATTCATGGTGGAATTCATGTTCACACCTCAGAATGGATTTGCAGGTTCCTGACAGCCTCCAAAGCCTCCAAACCTTGGGACAAAGGGGTAAAAAAACACCTGAGGGAGCATTTAAAGGTACCCATGAATTTGCTCAAAGGTACCCATGAACTTCCCTGTCCTCCACAAACTGGGGAGCCAGACATCACTGGTGGAATTCGTGGTGGAATTCGTGTTCACACCTCAGAATGGATTTGCAGGTTCCTGACAGCCTCCAAACCTCGGGACAAAGGGGTAAAAACTCACCTGAGGGAGTGTTTAAACAGCCCCAAAACCTTCTCCAAAATGTTCTCCCACCACCTCTGGGCACCACTGTGACCAAACACACCCTGCCCCAGGGCATGGTGGCCATCCCAGCTCAGGGACACGGGGACAAACCTCAGTGCCAGTCCCCAGCCGGCACAGGGCTGGGACACGGGGACAAACCTCAGTCCCCAGCTGGAACAGGGCAGGGACACGGGGACAAACCTCAGTCCCCAGCTGGCACAGGGCAGGGACACAGGGACAAACCTCAGTCCCCAGCTGGCACAGGGCAGGGACACGGGGACAAACCTCAGTCCCAGTCCCCAGCCGGCACAGGGCTGGGACACAGGGACAAACCTCAGTCCCCAGCTGGCACAGGGCAGGGACACAGGGACAAACCTCAGTCCCCAGCTGGCACAGGGCAGGGACACGGGGACAAACCTCAGTCCCAGTCCCCAGCCGGCACAGGGCTGGGACACAGGGACAAACCTCAGTCCCCAGCTGGCACAGGGCAGGGACAAACCTCAGTCCCCAGCCAGCACAGGGCAGGGACACGGGGACAAACCTCAGTGCCCAGCTGGCACAGGGCAGGGACATGGGGACAAACCTCAGTGCCCAGCTGGAACAGGGCAGGGACACAGGGACAAACCTCAGTCCCCAGCTGGCACAGGGCAGGGACACAGTGACAAACCTCAGTGCCCAGCTGGCACAGGGCAGGGACACGGGGACACACCTCAGTCCCAGCTGGCACAGGGCAGGGACACAGTGACAAACCTCAGTGCCCAGCTGGCACAGGGCTGGGACGCTTGGTGCCAGCCCATCCCGGGGAGCTGGGGACAGAGGATGGATGTCCCCGTGTCCCTCTGGGGTCTGCAGGGACACTAGGTGGCACCGCGAGGAAGGGAAAGGCACCGCGACATTACCGAGCCACCAGGAAGAGGACACAGCTGACAGCCAGGTAGGCGAGCAGCATGAAGAGCCAGACGCCCGGAGAAAAAGGGTCCAGGAAGGAGAAATAGCCGGGTCTGCGGCCCTGGAGGGGGAAAAAGCAAAGGAGGAGTTGGAGCTGGGTGGGTTTGGAGAGGTGGGAATAGTTCTGGAAGGGCAAGAGGGAAATCAGCGGCACTGGTGGTAGGGAGGGACATGGATAAATGGGGGAAAGGGGATAAGTGGGGGAAATGAGAATAAAATGGGAGAAATGGGAATAAATGGGAGAAGGGGAATAAATGGGAGAAGGGGGTAAATAGGAGACTGGGAAATAAAATGGGAGAAGGGGGAGAAATGGGAGAAAGGAAATAAAGAGGAGGAGGAGAAGAAATGGGAGAAATGGGGGAAAGGGGATAAATGGGAAAGAGGGGGATAAACAGGATAAAGGGGAATAAAAAGGGGAAGGGGGATAAATGGGAGAAGGGGATAAGTGGGAGAAAGGGGGATGAATGGAAGAAAGGGGATAAATGGGGCAAAAAGGATAAATGGGAGAAAGTGGACTAAAAAGGGGAAGGGGGATAAACAGGAGAGGGGGGTAAATGGGAGAAAGAAGGGGAAAAAGGAGAAGGGGAATAAAGGAAAAAAAAAGGAGAAGGGGAATAAATGGGAGAAAGGGGGATAAACAGGAGAAAGGAAATAAACAGAGAAGGGGGATAAACCAGGCTTTGGAACAGCCTTGCAGGGCAAACAAGTGACAGCAACCCCACAAATGACCAAGTCCTGCAGCATCTCCCCACTGCATTCATCCCCTAAATCTGATTTTCTCCCCATTTTTCTTCTTCCTGGCAAAGAAAGAGGTGGATTGAGAGAAGAAATGAGGCAATCACAGCGTCCTGTGTCTCCCTGGCAGGGTTTGATGCACCCCCAGCCCTGAGGGGGGTCCCCCCATCCTTGTCCACCCCACACTTAACTGGGCAGAAAGGGATTCACCTGAGCTCACAAGGTGGGAAATATATTTGTGAAACAAAAGGAAAAAAAAAATGAAATTCAAAACTTCTCTCTCTGGCCTTGCGAAGTTTCCTCTTTTACAAAAACCCCAATAAAATTATTGCTTTTATCTCAGCGAACAGGATATTTTTATCTCCAGGATGCGTCAGAATTTCCTGGTTTTTTCCTCAGCAAACCACCTTTCCTTGGGAAAAAAAAATAAGCCTTCACTGCTAGAAAAAGCAGGTTGATCTTCATTTTAAACTTTCACAAGGATGCTGCCACCACCAGAAAATTGTCAAACGTCACCAAATTGGTGCAAAAGAGGGAGAATAATTTTTTTGGAGAAGTTTCTCAAGAAGCCAAACACCTCCCATTTGAGGTGGATTTCTCCTGTCAGCACCAGCTCTGTGGATGCAGCTCCTCTGATGGGAAAGAGCAGCTCAAGCACGCCCAAGGAACACGATCCCACAGCTCACAGAAACTTGAATTTTGTGTCCCAAACCATAAATTCAGTCCTGGCATCCCTAAAACAGCTCCACAGCTTCCCCAAGCACCTGTAACTGGGAAGCTGCCCACGAGGAAGAGCTTTGCAAAGATTTTTTTTTTTTTTTTTTTCCCTTTCCCAGACTTAGACCGGCATTTTAAATTCCGCTTCCATCCAAACCTCGCTGTTTTACTACTAAATGTTATGCAAAACCTGATTTTCACAAGGTCTCGGCAGTTCTCCTGGAGATTTGAGCTGTTGCTAGAAAAGGCAACAGTTGTTGCACAAAAATCTTCCTCTGCTAAAAATACCCAGGAGCCTGTGAAATCCTCAGCTCCAGTCGCCATCTGGGAACCTGTAACGTGTCAGGAACCTTCCCCAGCAAACCCTGCCTGCAGGAAAAACCCAGCACAACACAGCAGCCTGTCCCTGCATCCTCCAGGACGAGAGTTTGGGACCTGCACTGTCCCTGCCCGTGGTAAGGGGGTTGGAACTGAGAGGTTTGTGAGGTCCCTTCCAAGCCAAACCATTCTGGGATGAGCATTTTTAGAGAATCTGGCTTGGTCAGGCTTTGGGCAAATGGATGAGCTGAGGAGCAGTGGCTCAGCATCCATTCTCAGATTAACTAAAACTCAGTTCCCAAGGAAAAGTTCAGGATCTCAGATTAACTTTACATCAATTCCCAAGGAAAAATTCAGGTTCTCAGATTAACTTTCAGTCAGTTCCCAAGGAAAGGTTCAGGTGCTCAGATTAACTTTAAGCAATTCCCAAGGAAACATTTAGGTCCTCAGATTAAGTCAATTGCCAAGGAAAAATTCAGGTCCTCAGATTAACTTTAAATCAATTCAGGTCCTCAGATTAACTTTCAGTCAATACAGGTCCTCAGATTAATTTCCAGTCAATTCCCAAGGAAAAGTCCAGGCTCTCCTGGGTTTAATTCCAGAGTTTCTCTTCAAGGCAATGTCTCTCTTCTGTTCCAGGTCACCTCCTGTCCACAGGTGAGGTACAAACAGTGGAAGACATCACATTCTCTGTGTCCTTTCCCAATTTTTTGGTCCGTTGCTGCCGTGTTCTGGTTTTCAGAGCCACAGGAACTGCAGGAAGCTGCATCCCAACAGGTGAGGATCCTCTGGATGGGATCAGTGGGAAGGGCACAGGGAAGAGCCCGTGGCACCTGTAGGGCTGGGAGATGCTCTGGCCTCCCTGGATTAGGGAGAGGAGCTCCAGCAGAGTGAGCAAAGGCTTCTCCTGGAAATGGGATGCAGATTCCTGCAGTTCCTGTGGCTCTGAAAACCAGAACACGGCAGCAACGGACCAAAAAATTGGGAAAGGACACAGAGAATGTGGTGTCTTCTGGGAAAGGACACAGAGAATGTGGTGTCTTCTGGGAAAGGACACAGAGAATGTGGTGTCTTCCACTGTTTGTACCTCACCTGTGGATAGGAGGTGACCTGGAACAGAAGAGAGACATTGCCTTGAAGAGAAACTCTGGAATTAAACCCAGGACTTTTCCTTGGGAATTGACTGAAAATTCATTTGAGGACATGAATTGACTGAAAGTTAATCTGAGGACCTGCCCACCTGCCAAAGGGTGGCACTGCCAGAGCTCTCCCCTTTGCTTAGCCAAGCTTGTCTTAAACTCCCATAAATCCTCTTTTATTTGCAACCTCCATTGTTTTACCTTCTCCCTGAAGCTCAGGACAGGCCAGATCTCCCCCAGATTCCAGGTGTCCCAGCAGGCAAGCTCCTTTTGCAGCCCCAATCTGCATTTGTGATGTGAGGGGCAGAGCCAAAAGGATGAAACCACCCAGGCTGCCTGCCCCAGCCCCCTCCCCAGCCAGGAGGATGGGGAGGATGCAGCACTGGGCATGAACAGAAACAAATTCTGTCTCTGTGCTGGGGGGCTCCTGCCAAGAGCAAACGAGTCATTAAAATCTAGTTAAAATTCTGCTTCCCCTGGTATGTGCAGAATGTGGGATCGATGATTTAACTGATCACAAAGGGAAAAAAAAAAACACCAAAAAAAAGGGTTTGACTCTTCCTGCTCCTGGAAGTCAAATGGAATTGTCCCTTCCCCACCATGGTTGGGATTTGCATCCTCCATTGTTTTACCTTCTCCCTGAAGCTCAGGAGAGCCCAGTTATCCCCAAATTCCAGGCGTTCCCTCTGGCTCTCCTGGGTGCCCCTCAAACTTTTGCTTCCCCTCTTCCTCAGCAGCACAACCAGCTCAGTAACTGCCAGAGCTCTCCCCTTTGCTTAGCCAAACTTGTCTTAAACTCCCATAAATCCTCTTTTATTTTCATCCTCCATTGTTTTACCTTCTCCCTGAAGCTCAGGAGAGGTCAAATCTCCCCCAAATTCCAGGCGTTCCCTCTGGCTCTCCTGGGTGCCCCTCAAACTTTGCTTCCCCTGTTCCTCAGCAGCTCAGTAACTCTTTATTCCTCCTCAAGGATGGAATGAGGCCCTGGGGATCCAGCAAGGTGTGAAGGGCACAAGCTGCAGCTCCTGGAGCTCATCACTCCAGGCAGGGCAGGGAATGACCCCAGAGCCTGCAGGGAGCTCCCAGCCCCTGGCAGAGCCTGCCCCTGTGAGATGCTCCCATGACAAAATTCCTTTCTGCAATTGAAGCCTTGATGTCTTCTTTATATTTCTGGGGCAGTTTGTCAATAAATTACTCTCATTAAGGAAATTGCGTTGGAAGCTTTAAATCTCCAGCTTGGCAGTGAATCTCTCCTGTGACTTTACAGTTGTAGTAGTTCTGGTTCTTTTCAGCTCCAGTCATTTCCAGGCTGCTGGGACATATTCTTTTCATTCACAGTTGTGGGTAAGAATAAAGATATTCTGTTCCCACGGAGGGCACAAACTCTCTCTTATCTGTCTGTTTTGAAGATGGGAATGACAATATCTGGAGTCTGTCAGATATTTTTAGGCAGTCCCAATAGAGCTTTGTTAATTGGAAGAGCTATTTTTCCTGGAATAGATATGTTCAAAATGTCCAATAATTGATGAAGGCCTCCTGAAAATCCTCAGATGGATGTGGGAGAGATTAATTTACCCTCCTCCTAAGTTGTTCTTGGAAATCTTCATTTTTTTCAGCCAGTGAGCAGCAGTTTGCTGGGAAGATATTGGTGGCTGGAGAGCTTGGACCAGGGGGACATTTGGGAAGGAGAGGACAGCCCTGGATTTGTTGTTTTCAGCACTCCCTGCCCTGCACATGCAGAGTGTGGAGGAACCCCAGCCAGCCCCATTAATGCCGTTTCCCACAAGTGTTTTCCCTAAAAAAGGAGGGCAGAGAACTTTCCCCTGCCTCTGGAAGTCAGAGGGAAGCAAAAAAACTCAGCCCGGGGAGGCAGAAATGTCCATGTGTGCTTGGTCCAGCTGCAGGGCACCAAAGCAGGGCACACCCCAGGATACCCACAGCTGCCCCAGGGCACATCCCAGGATACCCACACCTGCCCCAGGGCACATCCCAGGATACCCACACCTGCCCCAGAGCACACCCCAGGATACCCACAGCTGCTCCAGAGGCACACCCCAGGATATCCACACCTGCTCCAGAGGCACATCCCAGGATATCCACACCTGCTCTAGGGCACATCCCAGGATATCCACACCTGCTCCATACCAGGATTTCCACACCTGCTCCAGAGGCACATCCCAGGATATCCACACCTCCTCCATCCCAAGATTTCCACACCTGCTCCATCCCAGGATACCCACACCTGCTCCAGGGCACACCCCAGGCATCCACACCTGCTCCATCCCAGGATTTCCACAGCTGCTCCATCCCAGGATTTCCACACCTGCTCCATCCCAGGATACCCACAGCTGCTCCAGGGGCACATCCACATCCCTCCTTTCCCTCTGGGGTCAGGGAAAGCTCTGCACAGGCTGCTCTGAGTCTCATTTGGAGCCACCACCTGGTTCACAAATGCACTCCTGGGGGCAGCAGTGCCCCCACCCTGCTCTGGTGGGGAGGGATCCGTGCTGGCAGTGCTGTCAGGAGGGGGCTCAGCTCCTCTCAGCCCCTCTCAAGCCTCCTCTGGCTGGAATGAAGGAGTTTTTCCATCCACCCATCCATCCATCCATCAAGGAGTTTTTCTATCCATCCTCCCCATCTTGTGTCCTTTACAGCAATCAGGTCAAAACACTTTAAGCCTCAGCTCGCTTGGCCTAAACTCAGCTGTAGCTGTGCACTCTCCCAACCTCCATTTCCTCATTTTGAAGGCAAAGACTTTCAGGGCTGGGCAGCCAGAATCATCTTTAGTCCCTCATTCCCTACCACAGAGGCAAGGATGTGAGCAAAAATGGGTAAATTCTGACTTATCCCTCCCTGCAGAAATGACCCTGGGCAGGGAATTCCAGCCCTTTCCAACCCCAGGGACTGCTCAGGGCTCCCCATCCACCCCCTGCCACCCCCACATTTCCCCCTGGCAGGGCAGAACGGGCACCTGATAAAACCAACCAAGCCTTTTGTCCCTCAGGAAGCCTGTTAGAGCTCCTGTGTCAGAAATCCAGCCTTGATTGTATCACAAGCAGCGAAATTGAGAAAAATGACAGCCCTGGTTAAAGCTGCCATATTTGGTTATGTGTGATAAGAGGCACAGGCTCTGTGGTGGCTGGGTTGGCGGCGTGGGGAGGAGAAAGGGCTGAGAAATCACTTGCCACTGGAGCTACATGGAAATGAAAATAAAATGTCATCACATTTGAAGGAGCCCAGGGTGTGCAGAGAGCTCCTCAGCGAGGAAGAGGCTCGTTTGTGGTTATTTATTAGGCTCCATCTCATCCAAGCACTGATTAACACACGTCAGCTGCAATTTTTGACATTGCAGAGGTGGATTTTGGGGTGGGGACAAGAAGGCTGTGGGGCTGCTCTGCAAACCACATCCTTAAAGGAAAACCAGAAGTGTTTTCCCCATTTTCCCCTCCCTTTCCCCATTTCTCCTTCCCTTTCCCCATTTCTTCTTCCCTTTCCCCATTTTTCCCTTCTTTTCCCCATTTTTCCCTTCCCTTTCCCCATTTCTCCTTTCCTTTCCCCATTTTTCCCTTCCCTTTCCCCATTTCTCCTTCCCTTTCCCCATTTTTCCCTCATTTTCCCCATTTTCCCCTCCCTTTCCCCATTTCTCCTTCCCTTTCCCCATTTTTCCATCCCTTTCCCCATTTTACCTCCCTTTCCTCATTTCCCCCTCCCTTTCTCCACTTTCCCTTCCCAGAAGGGTCTGGTTTAGCAAACATTTCCCAGTTGGAGAGGTTAAATTGCCACACAGCTCTCAGGCACCCTCCTCAAGCCAAGCAGGACGAGGTGCCAAGGCCTGGGGAGGGAAGGGAGGGCACAACTGGGGGGCTGCCCCCATCCCTCCCCATGTCCCCAGTGGGGTGATCCCAACCTGGGAGATGCCCTTGCAGCCCTGCCTGGGTCCCTGGGCAGCTCAGATCCCAGCCAGGCCCTTTGTGGGGCTGCTGAAGCCCTGCTGGGAGCAGGGGGAGGATTCCCAAAGCCCTCTGGGGTCTGGGGTTCCCAATCCTGCTCTGTTTGGGGAGGAGCAGGGCTGGGGGGCAGCAGATGCTCCCTGCCCTGAGGAACCTGCAGCCCAAAAGAGGAGCCAGGAACCCTGCAGAGCCCCCTGAGGCTGCAGCAAATGGACAGACCCTGAGCAAAGGCTGCCCCAGCCCTCCTGCCTTTCCACCAGAGATTCTGGACATGCCCAGAATGGGTTGGGTTGGAAGGGATCATAAAGATCATCTCGTTCCAACCCTTTTTTGATGGGCAGGGATAATTTTCACGATCCCAGGTTGCTCAGAGCTCCATCCAACCTGGCCTTGGATGCTTCCAGGGGTGGAGCAGCCACAGCTTCTCTGGGAAATCCATTCCAGGGCCTCCCCATCCTCACAGGGAAGGATTCCTTCCTAATACAACAGAGTATTTAATCAGAAAATCTGATTTGAATTCTAGGAGACATCGGCAGGAAAAGGTCCTGGCTGCACAAGGCTGATGTGGAAATCCAACCATGGTGGGGAAGGGACAATTCCATTTGACTTCCAGGAGCAGGAAGAGTCAAACCCTTTTTTTGGTTTTTTTTGTTTTTCTTTTCTTTCCTTTGTGATCAGTTAAATCATTGATCCCACATTCTGCACATACCAGGGGAAGCAAAATTTTAACTAGATTTTAATGACTCGTTTGCTCTTGGCAGGAGCCCCCCAGCACAGAGACAGAATTTGTTTCTGTTCATGCCCAGTGCTGCATCCTCCCCATCCTCCTGGCTGGGGAGGGGGCTGGGGCAGGCAGCCTGGAGGGTTTCATCCTTTTGGCTCTGCCCCTCACATGACAAATGCAGATTGGGGCTGCAAAAGGAGCTTGCCTGCTGGGACACCTGGAATCTGGGGGAGATCTGGCCTGTCCTGAGCTTCAGAGAGAAGGTAAAACAATGGAGGATGCAAATAAAAGAGGATTTATGGGAGTTTAAGACAATTTAACACACAACACCACGTCCATGCTTGCACACATGAATCCCTTGGGGATATTCCCAGCTGTTTTGAAACAGAAAAATAAATTTGCCTCACTCCTGGAAGTGTCCAAGGCCGGGCTGGACAGGCTTGGAGCACCCTGGGATAGGGAAGGGGTCCCTGCCATGGCAGGGGGTGGCATGGGATGAACTCTGAACAAACCATGCCAGGATCCTGTGATGCTACAACTGTGCTGAGAGCACCCCCTGAGACTGAGGAGCTTTCCTGGGGCTGCTGCTCTTTAGGGTGGGCAAAGGAGGAGGCTGAGAGCAGAGGGCAGAGCCCAGGGCTGTGAGCTCAGCCTGCCCCAGCAGGGACATTGCCCCTGGGCTTAGCAGAGCAGAGGCTGTTCTGCCTCCAGAGCATTTCCAGGAGGTGACAGCAAAGAAAGCAACCCAGGATTCCTTCCTGAAGTGATTCTGACTTGGAAGAAGGCAGCAAGAGAGCAAAGCTGAGATCAGGAATGGCCCCAACACCAGCAAGGAGCACCCACAGATATCCCAGCTCAGCCTCCCACCCAGTTCTACCACTAAATCCAACTGGAAGGTGACTCCAAGCCAAGTTTCTGCAATTTCAGCCACACTTCTGCACCTCTCCAGCCAAGCCTGCCCTCAGCACACCTCACCCAGTGGCCTTAAAGCCACTCTAAAACCATCCTGCAGCCCCCACCATGCCAAAAAACCCCATCATGTGCCCTGGGAGGAGTGGGGAGAGAAGCCAGAGGGCTGAGGGTTGAAAAGGAATGGAATTCACCAATCCTGCCACGCAGCAGAGAGACAGAGAAAAGCAGGAAATAAAGGTCGAGCACATTTGCGTTTCAATAAGAAACCAAAATATTTTTTTATGAGTCGTTCATTATCCTCCCCTAACCGGGCAGGTTTGCATGCAAATAATGGAGGGACAGAAATGGCTCTGAAATGAGGCTCTTACCATGTGAACCCTGTAGAGAATGCTGATGCCCAGAGTCATGAAGGGCTTGGAGAAATCGATCACCTTCTCCCGCTCCGCCGTGATCGTCAGCCCCGCCACGGCCAGGTCGGCTTTCTGGGGAGGAGGGACAGGGACAGGACATTAATGAAAACTAGGGACAGGGAGAGGCTCAGAATGCTGGGAGAGCAGCAAAGCTGGGCCCACACGGGGCCCCCGTCCTGCAGGGGGGTGTCCCCACCTTTCTGGGACAGCAGGAGCTCCCCACTGCCCGGCTGGGATTCACACAGCCCTGCCCAAACGCACCCCAAAGTTTAGCCCACCCTGTGCTCTAGAGCATTATCCCCATTTTTCCCTCCCTTTCCCTATTTTTCCATCCCTTTCTCCATTTTTCCCTCCCTTTCCCCATTTTCCCCTCTCTTTCCCTATTTTTCCATCCCTTTCTCCATTTTCCCCTCTCTTTCCCCATTTTTCCCTCCCTTTCCCCACTTTACCTTTCCTATCTCCATTTTCCCCTTCTTTTCCCCATTTTTCCCTCCCTTTCTTAATTTTTCCTTCCCTTTCTCCATTTTCCCACCCCTTTCCCCATTTTTCCCTCCTTTTCCTCATTTTCCTTCCCTTTCTCCATTTTCCCTTCCTTCCTCCATTTCTCCTTCATTTCCTCCATTTTTCCCTCCCTTTCCCCATTTTTCCCTTCTTTTCCCCATTTTTCCCTCCTTTTCCTCATTTTCCTTCCCTTTCTCCATTTCTCCTTCATTTCCTCCATTTTTCCCTCCCTTCCTCCATTTCTCCTTCATTTCCTCCATTTTTCCCTCCCTTTCCCCATTTTTTTCTCCCCTTTCATGCTGGAGCAGCTCCTTCCCCCAAGTGCTCACAGCCCAATTGCGATTTTTATTCATTTAATGCGTTAAAACCTGGAGCCATAAACCAATAAATATGATATTAATCCATAGAAAACCAATAAATATTATATTAATCCATAGAATACCAATAAATATGATATTAATCCATAGAAAATACAACTCCCCCCTTCCCTGCTGAACACAGCTGTCCCTTCTGGTACAAGCAGGAAGGGGACAGAGCAGTATCCTCACCCCTGAGCCGTGGAGTTCACAAACCTGCCATACCCAGACCTCCAGAACTGCAGATCAGTCTCCAAATTTTAAAAAAAAAGAAAGATAAAATAAAATTCAGAGGACTGGCATTAAAGTTTGCAGATTGACCTGCAAAGCAAATGAGATTAAGGGGGAGAAAAAAATAAAAATAACTTCTTCTCATGTTAATACCCTTGTAATATAGATAAGGGATTTGAATTTTAAATATTATTTTTATTACTTTAGCTCTTTTAATGTCTGTAATTGCTTTCTGTAAAAATGAAACCTCCACTCCCTTATCCATTTGTTTCTCTGCTTTGCAGGAAGATGATTATGCATGTGGAAAAAGAGATGATGGGGGAGAAAGAAAAAGCTCTTTGCACTTTTTGTCCCCAAATTTGACAAGGTCTGTGCAGATGCTGAGACACCACCAGGACTGATGGAGGTGCTGGGAAAGGCTGCAAGAGGGGAGGGCAGGAGAGGGAAAAGAAAGGGAACCAGGAGAGGGAAAAGAGAAAGGGAACAAGGAGAGGGGAAAAAAGGGAAGCAGGAGAGGGGAAAAAAAGGGAAGCAGGAGAGGGAAAGAAAGGGAACCAGAAGAGGGAAAAGAAGAGGAAGCAGGAGAGGGAAAAGAAGGGGAAGCAGGAGAGGGAAAAGAGAAAGGGAAGCAGGAGAGGGAAAAGAGAAAGGGAAGCAGGAGAGGGAAAAGAAAAGGAACCAGAAGAAGGGAAAGGAAAGGAAAGAAAAGGAACCAGGAGAGGGAAAAAAAGAAGGGAACCAGGAGAGGGAAAAGAGAAAGGGAACAAGGAGAGGGAAAAGAAAAGGAACCAGAAGAAGGGAAAGGAAAGGAAAGAAAAGGAACCAGGAGAGGGAAAAAAAGAAGGGAACCAGGAGAGGGAAAGAAAGGGAACAAGGAAAGGGAAAAGAGAAAGGGAAGCAGGAGAGGGAAAAGAAAGGGAAGCAGGAGAGGGAAAGAAAGAGAGGGAAAAGAAAAGGAACCAGAAGAGGGAAAAGAAAGGGAACCAGAAGAGGGAAAAGAAGAAGGGAAGCAGAAGAGGGAAAAGAAGAAGGGAAGCAGAAGAGGGAAAGAAAGAGAGGGAAAGAAAGGGAAGCAGGAGAAGGGAAAGAAAGGGAAGCAGGAGAGGGGAAAGAAAGGGGAGGTGACCCACGAGCCCAGGATGAGGTCACAGAGAAGGTGACACCTCCCAGGCCGTGCAGAGCTGCTTGGCCATGCTCAGTGGAGGATTTTGGAATTGTTTCCAAGCAGCTCTTACAGATTCCTGAGAGGTTCAGGCTGCACTGAATTAGGAGCTGAGGAGAATTTCTGCACAGGCAGAACATTTACCCAGAGGCTTTTTCAAAGGCACCAATAATCCCAGCGTGGTGTGTGAACAGTTGAGCCCTGTGTAAACACCAGCAGATCACTAAAGCAGGATCAGTTCATCTCTGGAACGTGGCACGTGGAGAATTTTATCTATGAGGAAAGCCCAAAGCCTCCTAAACCCCTCTTGTCTCCACTTATAAGGTTTGTAGGTGCCATTGTCACATTTCCTAAACCACTCATAAGGTTTGTAGGTGCCATTGTCACATTTCCTAAACCACTTATAAGGTTTGTAGGGGCCATTTGTGCCACTTTCTAAACCCCTCTTGTCTCTACTTAAAAGGTTTCTGGGTGCCATTGTCCCATTTCCTAAACCACTTAAAGGGTTTGTAGGTGCCATTGTCCCATTTCCTAAACCCCTCCTGTCTCTATTAAATGGTTGTAGGTGCCATTGGCCCTCCCAGCAAAGCCCCTGCTGAAGGTGCAGCTCAGTCTGACATGGAATTCTCCTCCCAGTTCTCCAAATTAAACCCAGTCCCACCAGCAAAGCCACTGACTGAAGCTGAAGGTAAAAATGCCATGGCCAAAGGGGTTCATGCCAAAGCTTGCAGGAAATGTTCATTCCTATCCAGGGGTAAATAGAAAAGTGCTGTGAAGGAGCAGCAACATCCCCAGGTTTGGGGTCCTGATCATTCTCTGGGGAGAAACAACACCTTGGTGATGCTGAATCCTCAGCAGCATCCTGAACTGCTCTTCCCTCAAAATCAGTGCAAATCCATCTCCTCCCTCTGTCCACAGAGCAGGGACACAGCTCAGCCTTCCCCAGCTCTCAGACTGTGCCCAGCTCCCTTCCCTCACCTCCAGGGCGTTCTGCCATTCCATCAGAGTTATTTCCCTCTGCTCACTCCCTGCTAACTTTTCAGAGGAGCAGAACTTTCTGCAGCAGAGCTCCAGCTCCTCATCATTTCCCTCTCTCTTCTCTTTGCAGGCTCAGTCATGCAAGTTAAGAGCTGATCTCTGATAGCAGGAAACTTTGATCTGCATGGAATGGCATGCAAAGAATTCTCTGCCTGAATTTCATCCATTTCGTGCTTTCAGCTCTGCTTCCTGACAAAACTTCTTGTGATTCACTGAGCTCGGTGGAGCTACAGAGGAGCTCTGCAAACCTGAGTTCCCTCCAGCCTCCCCACCTGAGCACAGGCAGGTGTTGGGGTTTTATGGGCCCTGGGAGAGGAGAAATGGATTTTTCTTTGTGCCCCTGCACTCTGCCCAGGTCTGGGCTCTGGGGAGATGTCAGGACCCAGCACATCCCTCTGGCTGTCCTGAGCAGCCCAGACCCTGCCAGGGGGCTCAGAGACCCTGGCACAGAGCCCAAAATGCCCCTGTGGGTTTGATTATGACCCATGGAGCAAATTACCAACCTTAGATGAAGATCTGCAAGCCACAACAGTTTAGGTAGAATAATAGTGAAGTTATCACGGGGTGGAAAAGCAGATTTTAGGGTTTTTGGTATGGGGGTTCAGGGGGCAAGATGGAGGGATCTGGGTGTGTCCAGCCTTTCTCCTTCTTCTTCTTGGCCTCCATCTTCTGCTGTGATGGTGGCACTTTGGGATTGGTTTAGAGTAGAAGCTCAGTGTCTAACACAGGTGATGGGTATTGGGAAGGAATTGTAAATATTGTACAGGCAGTTTTTAGTATAAACACATAACCCTGCCCTGGGGCAGGCAGAGTGCCTGGAACTGTCCTGCTGGATGGACCTGGCAGGGCAGGAGAAAGAATTTTATAGATAAGAAACAATGAACAACCTTGAGACTGAGAAATGAAGAGCCCTGACTCCTTCTTCAAGCACCAGGCTGGGAAAAGAGACTTTGGAACTTTTCTCGGGGTCACTGTGAGCAGCGAGAGACCCCAACAGGGAGAGGAAAAAACAGGAGGCAAAGGATGGGTGTGGGGAAGAGGGGTTGGTTTTCATCCTGCCAGCACACTTGCAGCTATAAATGTCGGCATGAAATGGGCTTAGAAAAAGACCCAGAGCTTTTTGGGAGTGGAGACAGCCACTTCTCTGGAGAACACACCGCCCAAGCAAGGCCAGAGCCTCGCTGGGGGAGAGGAAACCCAGGTGGGCCGGCGTGCCAGACAAAAGCTGCCACAGCACCGCCCTACCTGGCATTCCCGTGGGCTCTGCCTGCATCAGGGCTCTGCAAAGGACACCAAACATGGGGGCTGAGCCGGGCTCCTGAGGAGGAACAACAATGAAGCATCGTTCAGGAGCAAATTGCAGGGACTGCCAGTCCAGAGGCGGCAGCCGCCCCCTCGCCGCGGCTCTGCCAGGGCTCAGCTCGGAGCTGACGGTGATGAACGGGCCCTGACGTCAGCCCCAGCCCCAGAGGAGCCCAGAGAAGCCTCCCACGGCATGGGATGGCAGAAAGCAGCCAGGAGAAGAGCCCAGCTGAGGCCCCACAGAGACCCCAACCCTCCACCAGGCTGTGGGGACACTGTAGGGACAGAGGCTCGGGGCTGGGGATTTCTGTGTCAAACCCCTGGAGAACAAACCCAGGACAGCTCTGGCAGCTCAGGGCTGGTGTAGCCATGGTACTTTCTGAAAAATCCTTTCCTTAGGATTTTTCCTCCTGAGAAGCTGAGAGGCCTCAGGAACAAAATACAAACAATGGTTATCTGCTGCTGTGGAATGCAACAGGTGC